AGAATTTATGAATGTAATTAAATTATAGATTTGTAAGAGGAACAGTGAAAAACTGTTTTGGCGGGTACTTAAAAAATCTCAGTCAGACATCTAGCATAGAAAAATTCCGCCCAAACTCCTAAAGTTTAAGAATACCACAGGAAAATTAGAATCTTCTATTAGAAAGGCACATTTGTGAGTACCCTTCCACAGTACTTCCATCCATTGCCTTGCTTTTAAATTAATAGTACATGAATAGCAGTTTTGTGAAGTACCATATTTAGACATTTTGAAGCCCATTAAAAATGTCAGACCTTTATATAGCTTAGAAGTCGTTCATTCCACTTTACCTATTCCACTTTTAATGTAAAACTACCCTCCTATGACCAAGTGCAAGATACTCCTGTGTATTCTCCCTCTGCTTTGGACCTCTGTCCCCCTGTGCTCCAAAATTTGGAAGGTGTTAAAGAACCTCTTATCACAGAGGAAAACCTGGGCTAGTCATTTGGCCATGAAAGGGCTGTCAGCACATGCAGGGCAGCTGAGCCTGACTGTTCCCAGGGGGCATGGGTAGAGAAAACCTGTTGAACCCTCTGCCCCACCATCACCCAAGAGTGTGACCTAATGTTTTGGAAGCATGTGTGCTGGGTTGGCTTGGTTTCTGTGATCACTCGAACTGCTGAAACCAGGAATACCTTCCAGCTGTAGCTCCAGGTGTGTGCTCCAGCCATGTGCTGGCTCCATCTGGGGTCGAGACCTGGGTGTTTGCTGCCAGTCTGCTTCCAGGTGTGACAGGACGATGGCTGCATTGCTGCCTCACAGGCGTGCTGAGCAGTTGATGCAAGATCTGTGCCCCAAGTCCATTTCTGTGTGAGTGTCCCGCTGAAACCCCTTCCTCCATTTCCTCTTCTCTCAGTAGCATATTCAGTTCTGACACCCACGCTGCCACTCACAGGTGTCACTTGGAGAAAACCCACGCTGCAACAGCTGCTTTGCAAATGCCGCAGCAACCGTTTGCTTGGCAGTGGTAAAAAAAAGGAGAGAAGCTTGGTTTTATTTCAGGCTGTGAAGGAGCAGAAGGGGCCCATGTGCTGGGGGAGAGGAAGTCACAGTGATGGGAGGGAAACAACTGTCACAGGGAGTGTGGGGACATAACTCACTTTGAGGCATGGCCAGAGGAAGGGAAAAGCAGGGAGACAGAATATGATCTGTCCTCACAACAAGTGAGGGGGTGTGCCAACAAATGTCACTGCAGGTTGGTGAGCTGGAAACAAGGAAGTATGAAAGAACAAGAAGCTTTGTGTTTTGTATCAAGCTTCCCACTAATGTTGTCCTTTCATTTTTAGTAATGCACTGCTGCATGAGGAACAGGGTCACAGCCAGGTCTGCGTGGAGGAGAACCTCGGGTTTCAGGAAGGTGGGCAGCTTGCAAAGGCCGTGGAAAATCTTCACGGGGACTGCCTGAACAGTTCAGCTTGAGTGTTTTCATTTGCTTGAATTTAAACTCTAGAGTTAGTATGGCATATGAACGGACTGCAGTTAAACTGCTAAGCAATTTCCCAGAGCTGCTGCAGCTGAAGGAAGGTAATTTACAACACAAATAATAATAAAAACAAACTGTAAGTAATTAAAGTCACTAGAACAGTCACCGCAACAAACAGCTATTTCAAGCAACCCCATTTGTGCTCAGGTCCTTTGCTTCCATGGGCAGAGGGGGGGTTTATTTCCCCACGTCCTGTTGCTCCTATAATGGACTAGTAGCACAACACACTGTTTTAGACGGCCATTTCTGTGCTCCTGTTTTGCCTTTGTCGCTGGGCCTGCGAGAAGACACACACGATGGGGCAGCAGAGGCTGCGGGCAGCGCGGGCACAGGCCCGGGGCCTCGGCTCAGAGGGGCAGCAAGGCTGCCACACCTGCAGGGGCAGGTATTCAGAAACAGGTGCTTTCCCCCCCGATTATGAGAGCCAACGGTGGCAGGATTTAAATTATTTTTCTAACTTTCATTCATTTGTATTAATTTCAATAATACAGCGAACGTACACTGAAGATACGGCAGTGACATCGCTCAAGAAAACTGCACTTCCTACTCCCAATACAAAATGGGTAGGTGGTATTAAGGAACACGTGAAGGCAAAACGAGAGCCAGAAAAAGCCGATTTCTGCTTCCGAGCTTCGGCTCCCCGCGAGCGCCCGCGGCGCGCGCGGCAGATGACGCCACAAACCACGGGAGGGGCCGCCCGGGAACAACCGACGCGGGAGAGAAGCGAGAACCCGCGCTCCCTCACGGCACGGCTGCTCCCCCCAAAAGCGGGCGCCCGCGGCCGGGG